GTAGTCTAGGCTGGCCTCAATTTTGCAGTTCTCCTGCCTCAGCTTCTTGAGGCACATATGCTACCAATGAATGATTGAATAAATGAGGGACAAAGGACAAATCTTCCTTACAGAAAATACTGGCAAAAAAACACCAATTGAGATATAACCTCCTGGTACGCTGCAAAATTGTGGAGGCCCTGGAATAGGGATGAGAAACTGTCACAGATTAGATAAGGAGATTTGATGGCAGAATGCCCTGTAGTGTCCTGGATTGGATCCTGAAACAAATAAAGGACATTAGTAGAAAAAATGGTGAGATCCAGGTAACATCCATTGTATAATTAATAGTAACACACCAATATTAATTTCTTAGTTTTGAAAAGGATAGCATGATTAGATAGTACGTTAATATTAGCAGAAATTGGGTGAAGAGTTAAGTGGGAGTTCTCTATAGTATCTTTTTAAAATTTCTGTAAACCTAAAATTATTCCAAAATACAAACTTTATCTTCAAAAAGAAATGAAAGCAAGTGAATTATAGTTAGAAAAGTTACTTTTGTGTGAGAAGGTATATCCCTACCAGTAGCCAAGGTAGCACCAGTTGGTATGTGGTCTTCAGTTTCATAGTCAGCTCCTGACAATATCCAGATGATGAAGACAGGGTTCAAGGCATCTCCTAGACCCAGATGTTTCTTATTTTGAGCCTTGAGTTAGATTTTTAACTCAGAATTCAGGAATGAAATAAATAATGAGATCAAAAACAATACTAGGTCAAGTATGTACAGACTTACTAAATAATCATGTTATGCATAACAGAGTTCTGTCAACAATGTCATGTGGTAGGAAAGAGGAAGAGTTGACTGAAGGACTATTTAGGGAGTAGAGAGCCGTTCAGTCTAGTTTCTGTCAATTTGATTCATGCTATAGAGCAACATGAGATAATAATGGAAAGGATGATTCCTTCCTTTCAGTGCCAGTTTTTTATAAAGCTAGAATTTGGATTTTTTTCTTCCGAGTAAAAGAAAACTATGGACAACGTGATAAAAAAGTCATAATTTTGAAGATAGTTTGAAACACTGCACAGAGTGTTATATATTGGTGACAGTAAAAACAGAGACCTAGTTGTGGGGTATGATGGTCTGTCTTGTCACTGTGATTGGATTCAGAAATGCCTAGGACGTTGTAAAGCACACTTCTGGGGGGTGTCTGTAATGATGTTTCCAGAGACCATTAGATTATGAGGAATGAATTAATTACTTAGTAGATTCATAAAATGATGACTTCATTATTGGGAGGTAGGAAGTGTGGTCTATTTGGAAAAAGTCGATTACTGGGAGCATGTCCATGTGGGCTACATCTTGCTGTAATCCCTTCCTATAGTCCTTTTTTTTCTGCTTCCTGCTTGCCATGATGTAAACTGCTTGTTTTACTAGGCCTTCCCTGCCATGCTGGACTAAACACTTTATACTGTGAGCCACAATATGTATTTCCTCCCTTCAGTTGTTTATGTCATGTATTTTGGTCACAGTGATGAAAAGCTAAGTACTACAGAAAATTGGTCCCACAGAAGTGGGGTTGTTGGTCTGACTAAACCTGATCATGTAGTTCTTAGCCCTTCAGAACTGGTTTATCAGAGGAATTTGGAAGAGTTTAGAGATGGGGCCAGAATGCTGTAAGTATAGCTTAATGGGCAACAGTTATGGAGTCATAGAGGCTTCCATTGAGATTTCAGAGGAAGGCCTGGGAGGCCTAGACGATGTATAGCAGGGTTAGATTCCCTACAAGGCACTTCTGAAAGAGTGATGCATGACTCCCTGAGGATGAATCTGAAGTCACATTGGAGACCCCAGAATGTTGTAGATGCCAGGAATATGGAATGTCTGCTGAGGAAAACCTAGACAAAGAATGGAGCCAGCCGAAGAGTGTGGCCATGTAAGGCTGTAAAATAGAAAGCCATAGAGGCAGTGCTGGCCAAGTCCTTTGAAGCTCCTGTCACATCCACTGACTATGTCTTCCACATGATGCATAGGAGCTGTACATACGGATTTGATTTGCATCTTCTAGATTTCATTCTTGCTTTGCACCTTTCTATGCCCCCCATTTCTCTCTTTTGGAATGGGAATGTTTATCTGCATTAGTTTGAGTGGAGAGCATGGATTTTAAAGATACCTCAAATCACTGTGCTACAGCATTTTGCCCTTACTTTTTACTTTACTACGTTTAGGATCTCCTGATCTGGGCATTCACACACACTGAATTCCAAGTTAGTAGTTAAGTAGATGGTTGTCTTTCTACCTGAAGAGAGAAAATCAGGAGTAGTTATTTCTGCCTCTGCAGGGTGGTGCCTCTGAAAAATATTTTCATTCCCTCAATTCAAAAATTTTGGAAATTAGCCAGGTCATGTGACAGGATAAATGCAAAATTTGTCTACTTTTCTGTTACTATTGAGCCACCTAGTTCATAATATGAACTTTTGCCAGCTCCTCTGAATTAGAGTTTGATACAGCTATGTTTCTTGAAGTTATTACATGTAGCATAGCATAGTAGTGCTATGTTTCCTGAAGAATAAGGAAAGTAATTTAAAATTACACACACACACACACACACACACACACACACACACACACACACACAATCTGTTCCCTTCAGGTACTGTATAAATAAACTGTTAAAAAAAAAAAAGCTAGAAGGGGCCCTAATGGAAAAGCTTAATCTTGTCCCATTCCTATTGAAGAAATGCAGA